TAACAATTCTGTGTCCCTCAGTAACAATTCTGTGTCCCTGAGTAACAATTCTGTGTCCCTGAGTAACAATACTGTGTCCCTGAATAACAATTCTGTGTCCCTGAGTAACAATTTCTGTGTCTGTCCCTGAGTAACAAATCTGTGTCCCTCAGTAACAATTCTGTGTCCCTGAGTAACAATTCTGTGTCCCTGAGTAACAATTTTGTGTCTGTCCCTGAGTAACAATTCTGTGTCCCTGAGTAACAATTCTGTGTCCATCAGTAACAATTCTGTGTCCCTGAGTAACAATTCTGTGTCCCTGAGTAACAATTCTGTGTCTGTCCCTGAGTAACAATTCTGTGTCCCTCAGTAACAATTCTGTGTCCCTGAGTAACAATTCTGTGTCCCTGAGTAACAATTCTGTGTCTGTCCCTGAGTAACAATTCTGTGTCCCCCTGAGATAACAATTCTGTGTCTGTCCCTGGAGTAACAATTCTGTGTCCCTCAGTAACAATTCTGTGTCCCTGAGTAACAATTCTGTGTCCCTGAGTAAACAATTCTGTGTCTGTCCCTGAGTAACAATTCTGTGTCCCTGAGTAAATCAATTCTGGTTGTCCCTCAGTAACAATTCTGTGTCCTGTCCCTGAGTAACAATTCAGTGTCCCTGAGTAACAATTCTGTGTCCCTCAGTAACAATTCTGTGTCCCTGAGTAACAATTCTGTGTCTATCCCTGAGTAACAATTCTGTGTCCCTCAGTATCAAATTCTGTGTCCCTGAGTAACAATTCAGTGTCCCTGAAGTAACAATTCTGTGTCCGTCCCTGAGTAACAATTCTGTGTCCCTGAGTAACAATTCTGTGTCCCTCAGTAACAATTCTGTGTCCCTGAGTAACAATTCTGTGTCCCTGAGTAACAATACTGTGTCCCCTGAATAACAATTCTGTGTCCCTGAGGGTAACAATTCTGTGTCTGTCCCTGAGTAACAATTCTGTGTGCCCTCAGTAAACAATTCTGTGTCCCTGAGTAATCAATTCTGTGTCCTGAGTTAACAATTTTGTGTCTGTCCCTGAGTAACAATTCTGTGTCCCTGAGTAACAATTCTGTGTCCATCAGTAACAATTCTGTGTCCCTGAGTAACAATTCTGTGTCCCTGAGTAACAATTCTGTGTCTGTCCCTGAGTAACAATTCTGTGTCCCTCAGTAACAATTCTGTGTCCCTGAGTAACAATTCTGTGTCCCTGAGTAACAATTCTGTGTCTGTCCCTGAGATCATAACAATTCTGTGTCCCTGAGTAACAATTCTGTGTCTGTCCCTGAGTAACAATTCTGTGTCCCTCAGTAACAATTCTGTGTCCCTGAGTAACAATTCTGTGTCCCTGAGTAACAATTCTGTGTCTGTCCCCTGAGTAATAATTCTGTGTCCCTGAGTAACAATTCTGTGTCTCCCTGAGTAACAATTCTGTTGCCCCTGAGTAAACAATTCTGTGGTCTGTCCCTGAGTAACAATTCTGTGTCCCTGAGTAACACAATTCTGTGTGTCGAGTCCCTGAGTAACAATTCTGTGTCCCTGAGTAACAATTCTGTGTCCCTGAGTAAACAATTCTGTGTCTGTCCCTGAGTAACAATTCTGTGTCCCTGAGTAACAATTCTGTGTCCCTCAGTAACAATTCTGTGTCCCTGAGTAACAATTCTGTGTCTATCCCTGAGTAACAATTCTGTGTCCCTCAGTATCAATTCTGTGTCCCTGAGTAACAATTCTGTGTCCCTGAGTAACAATTCTGTGTCCGTCCCTGAGTAACAATTCTGTGTCCCTGAGTAACAATTCTGTGTCCCTCATAACAATTCTGTGTCCCTGAGTAACAATTCTGTGTCCCTGAGTAACAATACAGTGTCCCTGAATAACAATTCTGTGTCCCTGAGTAACAATTCTGTGTCTGTCCCTGAGTAACAATTCTGTGTCCCTCAGTAACAATTCTGTGTCCCTGAGTAACAATTCTGTGTCCCTGAGTAACAATTTTGTGTCTGTCCCTGAGTAACAATTCTGTGTCCCTGAGTAACAATTCTGTGTCCATCAGTAACAATTCTACTGTGTCCCTGAGTAACAATTAAACAAATGCGGGGGGGGTGTCCCTGAGTAACAATTCTGTGTCTGTCCTCTGAGTAACAATTCTGTGTCCCTCAGTAACAATTCTGTGTCCCCTGAGTAACAATTCTGTGTCCCTGAGTAACAATTCTGTGTCTGTCCCTGAGTAACAATTCTGTGTCCCTGAGTAACAATTCTGTGTCTGTCCCTGAGTAACAATTCTGTGTCCCTCAGTAACAATTCTGTGTCCCTGAGTAACAATTTCTGTGTCCCTGAGTAACAATTCTGTGTCTGTCCCCTGAGTAACAATTCTGTGTCCCTGAGTAACAATTCTGTGTCCCTGAGTAACAATTCTGTGTCCCTGAGTAACAATTCTGTGTCTGTCCCTGAGTAACAATTCTGTGTCCCTGAGTAACAATTCTGTGTCTGTCCCTGAGTAACAATTCTGTGTCCCTGAGTAACAATTCTGTGTCCCTGAGTAACAATTCTGTGTCCCTCAGTAACAATTCTGTGTCCCTGAGTAACAATTCTGTGTCCCTCAGTAACAATTCTGTGTCCCTCAGTAACAATTCTGTGTCCCTCAGTAACATTTTGTGTCCCTCAGTAACAATTCTGTGTCTGTCCCTGAGTAACAATTCTGTGTCCCTGAGTTAACAATTGTGTCCCTGAGTAACAATTCTATGTCCCTCAGTAACAATTCTGTGTCCCTCAGTAACAATTCTGTGTCTGTCCCTGAGTAACAATTCTGTGTCCCTGAGTAACAATTCTGTGTCCCTGATAACAATTCTGTGTCCCTGAGTAACAATTCTGTGTCTGTCCCTGAGTAACAATTCTGTGTCCCTGAGTAACAATTCTGTGTCCCTGAGTAACAATTTCTGTGTCCCTGAGTAATGATTCTGTGTCCCTAAGTAACGATTCTGCTGTGTCCCCTAAAGTCTCTGTGGCCCTAACCTCTGTCCCTAATACACAGAGGTCTGTCTCTCTTGAATGACTGGAGGCTAATGGAGAATTGTAAGATGGCCGCAATTTATAGCTCCACCATTACACAGTGCTGGCTGGCTGGCTGCTGATTGGCTAATGCGATCACATGTCATGAATGAATGCATTATGGGTCAGCGCGCCTTGTCTGCGCGCCTTCCCAGAGATCCCCGCTCCGTCGCCACATCATGTCGCCGCCATTTTTGGGAAAATTCGATCGTGCATGCCGAAGTGGCTAATTTTCAGATTCGGCGCGAATCAAATATTTTCCCAATCTTCGAAACGAATTCCACTTCGTCATGTTCGATTCGCTCATCCCTAAATGCATCACACACAATAAGTGATATAACTGATAAATCTATTCATATTATCAGTTATACCACTTATGATGTGTGTGATGCATTACATGCGCTTCATCCCTTTTTTAAAAACTTTTTTTAAACTATTTTTTTTGCACATTTATATTGGAATATACACATTTTATTTGCGCTACACTTTTTCTATATTGATAGACCTGCATCCTTCTCTTCAGTCTTGCACAGGTTGTACTTGGGCTCCTCCCCTCAGTCTTGCACAGGTGTACTGGCTCCTCCCCTTCAGTCTTGCACAGGTGTATCTGGCTCCTCCCCTTTCAGTCTTGCAACAGGGTGTACTGGCTCCTCCCCTTCAGTCTTGCACAGTTGTACCGCTCCTCCCCTTCAGTCGTGCACAGGTGTACCGGCTCCTCCCCCTTCAGTCTTGCACAGGTGTACGGCTCCTCCTCTTCAGTCTTGCACAGAGTGTACCGGCTCCTCCCCTTCAGTCGTGCACAGGTGTGCCGGCTCCTCCCCTTCAGTCTTGCACAGGTGTACCGGCTCCTCCCCTTCAGTCTTGCACAGGTGTACTGGCTCCTCTCCTGGACTGAAACGGCTTCCTCTGATTTCACTGCACACTGTGAGCTTCTCATAATGTGCATTAAAAGCTGCAGCAGTCAGACAGAGCTCCGCCTCCTTTTCCTGGCTGGAGGATGTCCAGCATCATATACTGCTTTTCTCTCCAGCCTGACTGTCCCTGCTTTGTCTCTTGTCATTCACTGGAGTTTCGTTCATTCAATTATGGAGGCTCAGCATCACATCGCTCCCCTCCAAAAAAAATTGCATGTCAAATGTGGCAGGGGAGGGCTACTTAAACTGGAGTTCTACCTGAAAAAAAAAAAAGTCAGCAGCTACACAAACTGTAGCTGCTGACTTCTAAAATACAGCCACTTACCTGTCCCTCGGTCCAGAGGTTTCCTCCCCACTCGTCTGGTTTCACTGGCAGTCTTCTCTCCCCCGGCGCCAGCATTGTCAGTGTGGGCACCCGGCTGTGACAGCTTGCAGCTTCACAGCTGGTTTCCCTGCGCATGCGTGAGAAGCGCTGCGCTTTGTGAATGGCCCTGTAGTCTTGTGGGACCTGTCATGTGTCCCAGAAGACTACGGGGGGGGGGGACAACTTCCGCTTCCGATTGCCTAGGTGATCAAAGTGGGAGTGGGTACCTGTCAAATTCGAGTACCCACTCCCCAAAGGTGCCAATCCTTAATGGAGAGCGGGGACAAAGGCTTACAGCAGAAGTTCCCCTTTTGGGTGGAGCTCCGCTTTAAAGCAGATTTCCAGCCAAAAGTGGAAGCTCCACTTTTCTTCCTCCTCCCCACCTCTGCTGCCACATTTGGCACCTTTCGGGGGGGAAGGGGGAGTGGGTACCTGGTTTTGACAGGTACCCCCTCCCACTTGTGGCTCAGTTCACTGCGGTGAACTGAGCCGGAAGTTCAGCACTTCTGCAGCCCTTTGGGACACTTCACAGGTCCCAGAGGACTCCAGCCCATTCACAAGGAGCATCACCAGTTTCTCTGGTCAAGCCAGCAGGGGGGAGGGTGTTGTACATAGCTTCCTGAACAAAATTAGGGAACATTCTTCCCACTGACCCCCAATGTAAGGAGCATTCTTCCCACTGATCACCAATGTAAGGGACATTCTTCCCACTGACCCCCAATGTAAGGGACATTCTTCCCACTGACCCCCAATGTAAGGGACATTCTTCCCACTGACCCCCAATGTAAGGGACATTCTTCCCACTGACCCCCCAATGTAAGGGACATTCTTCCCACTGACCACCATTGTAAGGGACATTCTTCCCACTGACCTCCAATGTAAGGGACATTCTTCCCACTGACCTCCAATGTAAGGTGCATTCTTCCCACTGATCACCAATGTAAGGGACATTCATCCCACTGATCACCAATGTAAGGGACATTCTTCCCACTGATCACCAATGTAAGGAGCATTCTTCCCACTGACCACCAATGTAAGGAGCATTCTTCCACTGACCACCAATGTAAGGGACATTCTTCCCACTGATCACCAATGTAAGGAGCATTCTTCCCACTGATCACCAATGTAAGGAACATTCTTCCCACTGATCACCAATGTAAGGAGCATTCTTCCCACTGATCACCAATGTAAGGGACATTCTTCCCACTGACCTCCAATGTAAGGTGCATTCTTCCCACTGATCACCAATGTAAGGGACATTCATCCCACTGACCTCCAATGTAAGGGACATTCTTCCCACTGACCTCCAATGTAAGGTGCATTCTTCCCACTGATCACCAATGTAAGGGACATTCATCCCACTGATCACCAATGTAAGGGACATTCTTCCCACTGATCACCAATGTAAGGGACATTCTTCCCACTGATCACCAATGTAAGGAGCATTCTTCCCACTGACCACCAATGTAAGGAGCATTCTTCCCACTGACCACCAATGTAAGGGACATTCTTCCCACGATCACCAATGTAAGGAGCATTCTTCCCACTGATCACCAATGTAAGGAACATTCTTCCCACTGATCACCAATGTAAGGAGCATTCTTCCCACTGATCACCAATGTAAGGGACATTATTCCCACTGATCACCAATGTAAGGGGCATTCTTCCCACTTACCACCAATAAAAGGGGTATTACTCCCACTGATCACCAATGTAAGGGACATTCTTTCCACTGACAACCAATGTAAGGGACATTCTTCCCACTGACCACCAATGTAAGGGACATTCTTCATACTTACTACCAATATAAGGAACATTTTACATTCTAACTACCAATATAGGGGAACATTCTCCCCACTAATCATCAATGTAATTAGTATTCTTTCCACTAACATCAAAAGTATGGAGGAGCTACACTTTAAAACCAGTGTAACATGCCACGATCCCTACTGACCACCCATGCGGTGTGGCTAATACGAGCTGCAGATATAGTCCTTTTTTTATCAGGGGTTCATTGAGGTCTGAAAATGATTTAAAGGGTTCCTTCCTTGCAAAAAGGATGAGAAACGCTGCTAAAAGCACTCGCAAGATCAACAAGTAAAAGCTGAGAACTGGGGAGGACATTTAGAGATGCATTGGTATGGCTTGGTGGAGTTCCACTTTAACCTGCCTACGTGGCTGGCATGGCCTAAAGGCGATCACTTGATTGAGCTCTGCAGACTTCTTCATTGCATCCATATGCAGCGCTGGGTAAGGAACTGCCAGCAAATTCCAGTGCAGCGCTCCGAGACCCCGCAAGTTCTGGCTCCTTCTCTCAATGTGAAATTCATCCAGTGAAAGAGACTTATTGTCCAGCGAGTGACACGTCCAAAAAAAGAAAAAGAGAGAGGGGAGCCGGGAGTGTGAAGAGCGAGTCTCAGCCAGCAAGGCCAGCTAAACAAATATGGCATTGACTGCCGAAGGGGGTCAGCGAGAAGTCTGGCTCCGGCCGTCACTTTGGAGAGCTACAAAACAGCCTTCGCTTTTCCACTCGACTATTTTTGGGCCCTCGTTAGCGGTTCCTTCAACCTTTGACCGCTGCTAATCCAAAACAACCAGCGGACTGACCGCATCTTCCCCGAGCTTCCAGCTAGACCATTCGCCTCTCTGTACGTACAGAAAGAGGAGTCACTCTCGTTTCCACTGGATACTGTAAAACCGGATCATCCGAACACTTTTCATGTTACAATTACTTTTTAAAGGGTCAGTCTACCCAAAAATGATATTTCAGTTCAGGGGCGGACTGACAACTCATGGGGCCCCCGGGCAATAGGGGATCATGGGGCCCCTGTGTCCTTGCCCAAACTCAAAAAAGCCTATGAAAAAGGTACCAGGGGCATCTCATGGGGCCCCCTACTGACCCCGGGCCCTCGAGCAGTGCCCGAGTTTCCAATTGGTCAGTCCACCCCTGTTTCAGTTAGCGGTGCATCTTAGTGGGCTCAGTCGGCCCTTAGCTTTTGTCTTCCAAAAGTGAGATTTCCTGAACCAAAATACCAGCTAGGGATGAGTGACAAATTTTGGAGAAAATAATGAAATTTTAGCAAAATCGGCCTCTAATCGTATGGATTGCCTGGACCAAATACGCCTGAAAAAAAATAGACATCTCTTTTAGAGAAATTTCTGTATAACCAAAGTGGGGTTTTTTTTGTGCGTTACGTTGTTAGGGTTTTGACAACAAAACAATGGAGAACAAACAATAACAAAAATATAAAGATACACAAGAACAGTAACATAGAAGATTGACAGCAGAAGAAAGTCCAAGCGGTCTATAAAGTCTGCCCACAGTTTTATTTTCTCAGATAATAGATGCAGGATCGCTCCCTTTCCAAGTCACCCCTTGTCTCTGCCCCCTACCTACCTCTGAGCACTGTTCCTTGGTTCCACCCCCTACTCACCCCTGAGCACTGTTCCTTGGTTCCACCCCCTACTCACCTCCGAGCACTGTTCCTTGGTTCCACCCCCTACTTACCTCTGAGCACTGTCCCTTGGTTCCACCCTCTACCCATCTCCAAGTGCTGTCCCTTGGTTCCACCCCCTACCCACCTCCGAGTGCTGTCCCTTGATTCCACCCCCTACTAACCACCGAGAGCTGTCCCTTGGTTCCACCCCCTACTCACCTCTGAACACTGTTCCTTGGTTCCACCCCCTACTCACCTCTGAACACTGTTCCTTGGTTCCACCCCCTACTCACCTCCGAGCACTGTCCCTTGTTTCCACCCTCTATCCACCTCCGAGTGCTGTAACTTGGTTCCACCCCCTACTCACCACCGAGAGCTGTCCCTTGGTTCCACCCCCTACCCACCTTCGAGTGCTGTCCCTTGGTTCCACCCCCTACTCACCTCAGAGCACTGTTCCTTGGTTCCACCCCCTACTCACCCCTGAGCACTGTTCCTGGGTTCCACCCCCTACTCACCCCTGAGCACTGTTCCTTGGTTCCACCCCCTACTCTCCTCCGAGAGCTGTCCCTTGGTTCCAACCCCTAATCACCACCGAGAGCTGTCCCTTGGTTCCACCCCTACCCACCTCCGAGAGCTGTCCCTTGGTTCCACCCCCTACTCACCACTGAGCATTGTTCCTGGGTTCCACCCCCTACTCACCTACGAGTGCTGTCCCTTGGTTCCACGCCCTACCCACCTCCGAGCGCTGTTCCTTGGCTCCACCCCCTACTCACCCCCGAGCACTGTTCCTTGGCTCCACCCCCTACTCACCCCCGAGCACTGTTCCTTGGTTCCACCCCCTACCCACCTCCTAGCACTGTTCCTTAGTTCCACCTCCTACCCACCTCTAACCAGCGGGAAATTTGAAAATGACAAAAAGTGACATTCACTAAATACACTAAAATCACATAGTATAAAATTCCCGAGTGCTTTGTCCGGCGCCCTGCCTGCATTTTTACTGTTCTTTCTGCCTGGAAACTGAGAAACGTCCATGGCGTCCAAAAAGCGTCCCTTTAGGTCAGACGCGGTTTTAGAGCGGCTAGAGAACAGCGATAGTAAATCAGAACCACTTGCAGAATTGAGTGATAATGATTTGTGGGGGAAATTCCTCATCAGACACTGAAAACGATTCTGCGACTTTGCTCAGCGATGTGCGAACTTGGCGCTATATTTCACATTTCAGTGTTTTTGGTTTGATTATATTATTGAATTACATTTATTATTATTATATTATTATTTTTTATGATTATTTATTATATTATAATTTATGATTTCGTGTTTCAAATTTTATCCTCCCCGGGATGTTTACTAGACTCTTGTTCGGACAGATTTCAGTGAGTTATTCCTAAGAATTACAGCCTACAATAAAAAAACTATATATTTCCATGCAAAATAATGTACCGCTTTGAGCACAGAAATATGGACATAATCAGACCGCTAGGGGGGTTAATGGAACAAGCTGAAGTTTGAAGCTGATTGGCTGCCATGCACAGCTGCACCAGATTCTGAGGGCTCCAAGTTTAGTAAACAAACCCCGCTACTACTTGTCTGATCTCACCATTCACTACTCTTTTGGTAAAATAATACTTTGTAAGGTGAGTTGTGAACTTTCCTCCTCTAGTTTGAAGTCTCCACTTTTTTTTTTAATCTTGGCTTCATATTGTATATCCTGCCCTCCTAAACCTTATAGACATCCTTCATGTATTTACAGGTTTCAGTCATATCCCCCTTTCCCTTCTGTCCTCCAGACTGTACACATTCTGTTCCTGCAGTCTCACCTGATATGTTTTATCCCCCAGACCTTTCACCATTTTTGTTGTCTATCTCTGGACTCGTTCTATCCAAACATTATCTTTTTGTATTTGAGGTCTCCAAAACTGGATACAATATTCTAACTGAGGTCTCACTAAAGATCTATATAGAGGAATCAGGACCTCCTCCCCCCTGCTGGTGACCCCTCTAGTGATAGGATCTATATAGAGGAATCAGGATTCAGGACCTCCTTCCTCCTGCTGGTGACCCCTCTAGTGATATAGTTTATAAAGAGGAATCAGGACCTCCTTCCTCCTGCCGGTGACCCCTCTAGTGATATAAAGATCTATATAGAGGAATCAGGACCTCCTTCCTCCTGCCGGTGACCCCTCTAGTGATATAAAGATCTATATAGAGGAATCAGGACCTCCTTCCTCCTGCCGGTGACCCCTCTAGTGATATAAAGATCTATATAGAGGAATCGGGACCTCCTTCCTCCTGCTGGTGACCCCTCTAGTGATATAAAGATCTACATAGAGGAATCGGGACCTCCTTCCTCCCGCTGGTGACCCCTCTAGGGATATAAAGCTCTATATAGAGGAATCAGGACCTCCTTCCTCCTGCCGGTGATCCCTCTAGTGATATAAAGATCTATATAGAGGAATCAGGACCTCCTTCCTCCTGCCGGTGACCCCTCTAGTGATCTATGTAGAGGTATCAGGACCTTCTTCCTCCTGCCGGTGACCCCTCTAGTGATATAAAGATCTATATAGAGGAATCAGGACCTCCTTCCTCCTGCTGGTGACCCCTCTAGTGATATAAAGAACTATATAGAGGAATGAGGACCTCCTTCCTCCTGCCGGTGATCCCTCTAGTGATATAAAGATCTATATAGAGGAATCAGGACCTCCTTCCTCCTGCCGGTGACCCCTCTAGTGATATTAGGTCTATATAGAGGAATCAGGACCTCCTTCCTCCTGCTGGTGATCCCTCTAGTGATATAAAGATCTATATAGAGGAATCAGGACCTCCTTCCTCCTGCCGGTGACCCCTCTAGTGATATTAGGTCTATATAGAGGAATCAGGACCTCCTTCCTCCTGCTGGTGACCCCTCTAGTGATATAAAGATCTATATAGAGGAATCAGGACCTTTTTCCTTTTTCTGGTGATCCCTCTAGTGAAATGTATTTGTGTTATTTTTTCTTCATTTGTTTTCTATTTAATAGTTTGTTTGTTTTTCCCTTACATTTATGCCCCTTTCACACTGACGGTCCAATTGGGTCCACCTGTCAGTTTTTCAGGTGGACCCA